AGGTATTTTCAGAAACTTCCCAGTGACAGGTGGGGAGAGGATGGGGGTGGGAAGTTGGGGACCTGGAGGCCAAACAGGAACCCTTCTCCACCCGTGCGGCACTGTGGAGGTTCCGAAAAGGACTTCCCTCAGAGTCGGGTCCCAGGAACCAGGCTTCACCATCCCTCCGAATGAGCTGGAGGGATGGAGGGAAGGCCTGGGAGATGTTACCCCCGGGGTTCTGGCCCAGACCTCCCGCTGCACCCCCGCGTCCCAGCGCAGACCCTTCTCGATACCCGCTCCAGCTGTCACGCTTCCTCCTTCCCGACCCAGCACCACGAACGCAGCCCGTGGGTCCTGGCCTTCCCTACCCCTGTCCTGTTCCAATGGGGGAGGGCGGGGCGCTGGGGGGCTCGCGGGGTCTCTACCTTGCTTGGGAGGGCTCGCGGTCGCAGCTGAAGCGCCGGCGCTGGAGCTGGAGCCCGAGCTGGGCTGGAGGGGACGGGCCAGGCAGACGCGGCCGCAGCGGGGCCGCCCCGCTCCTGACGACACAGCTGCCCGCCCCCCACCCCAGCCTGCCCGCCGCGCCCGCGCCCGGCGCCCCCAACTCTGGGAACTTCGAAGTTGGAGAGGCCCGTTTGTAGGTTTCCAGTTCACCATAACCTGCTCCACCCTCCCTTGAATATGTCCCGGCTTTGGACACATTTTCTCCATTTGCTGCGCTCCTCATCTTCTTCCCGCGCCGGCGGCAGCTCTGCTTCTATTTTCTCTTTCTAATCACTCACAGCCTCTCCCTTCACCCCAAACCTGGGAGGCCAAGATACCGGGCGGGCCGCTAGCAGAACAGCTCGGCGGTTGGGCACCCAACCGACTAGTCTCACTCTCTTCTGATTGCTGCCATCCTGAACTTCCCTGTCCAACTCCCTTCCATCCACCGCTGACTTCACACTCAGGAGATCCCACGGGGGCAAGGCCAGAGTCCCAGACTCCACAACCTGACCAAACACCTCCCTCTCGTCCCGGGCTCCACTCTGCTTGAGACAATCTGCCCACCTTCTCCACGTTCCTCTCCTCCCTTTTAGACTTATTTTCTCCAGTCTAAGAACACCTCCTGTCAAGACTCATGTCCTCTCCTTAATTCTAGGGTGGAGGTTTGCACTCTGGTCTGTATCCACCCTTTCTCCACACCCTCATCCTCCTACTTTACCTGCTGGCCTTGGCAGGTAGCACAGAAGGCCTTGGCCAAAAGTAGGGAGTCAAAGGTCCTTTCAGCTTCTCCTGCCTGGAGTCTCTTCTAGAGTCATTAAGGCTCTTGGGGTCGCATGGCTGGTGGTGAAGGTGGTACAGCAAAGGAGAGAGATGGAGGCCTAGGGACTTACTGGCAGGAACTGGAGACCCAGGCATCCTGCTTACTGGCCCCGCCCTAACCCCTGTCTAACTCCCTCCTACCTTTCATTGAAAATGGGGCAGAGTAACAAAGCCTTAAGTTCCTGGAATCTCTTTCTTACACCTGGGGGTGGGAAGAAGGGGGAGGGGAGACCTCTGACTAGAAGGGTATATGCATGCTTGGGTATTGTGGATGCATACATACACACACCTAATATATACATATTTTTGGTGGGAGTTGGAGAGGAAAGGGAATTAATACATGAGGCCCTCTAGTGGAAACAGGGGTATCTAAGCAGTTCTTGATTGTTTCAAGGCAGGCTTGTTGGAACAGACACCTCCACATTTGCCAGAAATATAGCTGCTGAGTAATAGGGTTTGGGAGTATTGTTGTTGTATCTAAACTGGAGATTTCGGGCATAGGTTGAAGAGGGTCTTTTGCTCCTGTGCCCCTCCAGGTCTCACCCTCTCACCCCCAATCATAAAAAGACAAGGGCCAAAAGCCGGGCGCAGTGGCTCACACCTGTAATCCCAGCACTTTGGGAGGCTGAGGCAGGCGGATCATGAGGTCAGGAGACTGAGACAATCCTGGCTAACACGGTGAAAACCTGTCTCTACTAAAAATACAAAAAATTAGCCGGGTGTGGTGGCACGTGCCTGTAGTCCCAGCTACTTGGGAGGCTGAGGCAGGAGAATCACTTCAACCCGGGAGGTGGAGGTTGCAGTGAGCTGAGATCAGGCCACTGCACTCCAGTCTGGGCAACACGAGCGAAACTCTGTCCCAAAAAAAAAAAAAAAAAAAAGAAGACAAGGCCCTTGACACTCCCTATCCTTTGTCTTTACAGTATTCTCTTCACTGTTAGCAAAGCTTCATCTCTCCTTCCTCTATGACCTCCTTAGTCATAGTAAACAAACTCTTCTGAAGGCCTTTTATACACCAAGTCCTGTACTTAGTTCTGCAATACAAGCAAAAATATAGTCCCGTTTAGGGACTATACCAATGAGTGGTGCAATGTGTGTAAAGCCTCTCCATTCTGAGCTACTTTAAACAAACATACAATATAAGAATAGGTCCCCTAACACCTCTGCCTATCAGTTTTCTGTCCCTGGATCTTTCATTTAGAAATCTTGGAACGATATTAATCTCTAAGGCACTCAGCTTGCCTTGCAAATAATGCTTAAAGTAATGCCACCCTACGTATTACCTGTGTTTCTCACTCTATTGTCTTTAGATATGTTCCAAATAAAGTTGAAGACACTCCTTTTAAGATAGTTTTTGGTACTTCAAAGTGGGGTGTAATGCTATCTCTCTCGAATAAGGAATAAGGTGGAATCAGTCTTACTCTAGACTTCTTTGTGTCTTCTTTAGGATCTGTGCTCCATCATACCCCAAGTCAGTTACTGGGGGGTGTGGGTGGGGGAAGAAAAGCCAAGAAACATCTAAGAAGGAGGCATTTAATGCCTACGGTTCCAGGTGCTCATTTCTTTAATCAACCACATCATAAAAATCAGAAAGAAAGAAACCGCAATGAACAAAGGGAAAGGAAAAAACAACAGCCTGTTCTCCCCAGCCTTTTTTGCTCCGTTCCTCCTCAGGGTGGGGGGCCACATCCGGGGCCCAGGGTTGGGTCCCAGGCAGGTCTACTAAGCAGACAATTGAGTTTCACTTCCTGTCAACCCCAGTGCTGAGGCAGGATGTCTGGGGGTGGGAAGGGGGCCTAGGGTTGGTAGTGAACAGGGGCCACTTTAGGTTTCCCTCCTGCAGAAAGGTTTATTGAGCAGCCTCTGGAAGCTGCAGAGACCACTCCTAAGGTAGTTCAGTCAAGACCAACGTATCCCATTAGTTTGTAGACGCTTCTTCCCACACTCTCATGTCTAATGGTCTAATCGTAACAAGGTTAAAGGATAAGATGTTAGACCCTGCAGGGTCTGAAGCACAGTTGGTGAAAGGAGAGCAAGGGTTTAAGACCACAGTGTCAGAACACTTGCAATAACTGTGTATTATATGCAAATACTTTTTTATTTATTTATTTTGAGACTGAGTCTTGCTCTATCATACAGGCTGGAGTGCAATGGCATGATCTTGGCTCACTGCAACCTCTGCCTCCCGGGTTCAAGTGATTCTCCTGCCTCAGCCTCCCAAGAAGCTGGGATTACAGGCACGCACCACCACACCCAGCTAATTTTTGTATTTTTAGTAGAGACGGGATTTCAACATCTTGGCCATGGCTGGTCTCGAACTCCTGACCTCCAGAGATCCGCCCACCTCGGCCTCCCAAAGTGGTGGGATTACAGGCATGAGCCACCGCGCCCGGCCTGGAAATACTTTTTAAATGAGCCCCTGCTCCCCACCCCCAGACATTCTGAATTGGCCTCTAGTGGAAGTCAAGGAGATGGAGGACGGGAAGGAAGGCAAGCTGCAGCCCCCAGAAAACTTCTGAGGCCTAATTTGTCTTATAAAGGTCCTAGACGGAGTCTCACTCTGTCCTCCAGGCTGGAGTGCAGTGGCGCGATCTCGGCTCACTGCAACCTCCGCCTCCTGGGTTCAAGAAATTCTCTGCCTCAGCCTCCCGAGTAGCTGAGATTACAGGCGCCCGCCACCATGCCCGGCTAATTTTTTTGTATTTTTAGTAGAGACAGGGGGTTCACCGTCTTGGCCAGGTTGGTCTTGAACTCCTGACCTCGTGATCCACCCGCCTTGGCCTCCCAAAGTGCTAGGATTACAGGCCTGAGCCACCGCGCCCGGCTTTAGTTTTGTTTTTTAAATGGGACATGCTGCCTAGTGTAAGAGGTAATCACCAATATTTACCTCCTCCCGCCTTCCTGGTTCCAGGGGTACTGCTGGATATTAAACTAAGCCAAAGTGGGGACATATGGAGGAAGGTAAAAGGATTGATAAGGAAAAAGCTATATAAGGGTGGAGCAGGGCAGAGTTGACACCGGAGGAGAAGAACCTGCAGTCGGGCCCCTCCCAGGCTGTAGGGGAAACAAGTTTAACAGAACTTAGCCCTGAAGGAACAACAGTTGCTGAAATGGGCGGCGGAGGAAAGAGCATTTGGGTTCGTCTGAATAGGGAGGTACGGGGCAGAGGAGGACTACAAATGGAGTGACCCTACGGAACCGGATTATTGACGAGCTGCCCCGCTTTAGATCCTCAGCGGTTGGACGAGTTTAATTAGAATACTAAGTAGGTCCGCCCAGAAGCCTTTACCCTGCCCTCTGACCCTAGGGCCCAACCCAAGGAGGCACTCAGGGTTAGGAGGTCTGGGAGAGAAGCAAGTAGGGCCCTCATCTCTTCGCCGCCGAATCTCCGGCGCCGCCCAGCGGGGCAGAGCCAGGCCAGGGCCGCCCGCCCAACCTGGCCAGCTGCCTCTTCAGCCATGGAAGCTGCCGGCAACCCTGCGGCTACGGAGACAGGTGACCGACCCGTGGGACTCTCCGCCTTGCACGCCCCTCCCGCGGGTCTCTGGAGGTTGAGTGGGGCGGCCGACAGCAATCGGCACGCGAATTCGACCTCCCCACCTTCTTAGAGAGGGTTACATGGGGTCTTCCAACCGTCCCCAGAAACACTTGTGCGCCCCAGTGCGTTCCTGGAGTTTGTCTGCTCCACGTCACCAAGCTGCTCTCAGGTCTGGGTGCAGGCCAAAGCCTGGATAGTCTTCCTTTCTTCATTTATAAGGCCCCCTTTTTGGGTGCAGGTGGGCCTTGCGCCCTTTTCCCTCGCAGGTCGTGGACATACGAGGAGTTCCTGGGATGAGAGGGACTGTGCCTCGGAACTTCTCTTGGCTCCCCGAGGACTGTTTTACAGGCAGCAAGCGCTCAATAATGGTATCGGTGGCAGTAAAAGAGCCCACGGCTTTATTTTATTAACTATTTCAGCTTCTCCCCTCTTCCTCCTCCTCCACCTCCGCCCATGAAATGGTGCACTCTCCCTTTAAGACTAAGATGGTGGCTTGCTACGATCGGGACTCCACTTCCGGTGGGGAGGGGGGCGGGACCCCAGCCCGCTCACGCCGGAAGTGGTTTGCGTTTTCAAGATGGCGACTCCCTATGTTACTGACGAGACCGGCGGTGAGTGCGGGAGGCGCGGAGCCGCTTCTCCCCGGGCTCTCGGGGCAGGGGTTCGGACTTGGAAAGGGGTCTGTGCCCCGCCCATCCCGGGGCCCCTCCTTTGCCCCGCCCCCCGGACCGCCTTCCCCATTCATTCTCTCCTGCGGGGTGTCTCCTGCGCCCCCTTCTGGTCTCGTGTTTGGGGGTCTCTGCTTCCGGTCACCCAAACCCTGGGGTCCTTCAGTGCTGGTCCCTGCTTCAGGACCCTCACGGGCCCTTAGCTTTTCTCCAGCAGTTGGAGCACTCATATCTCTTATAGGTTCTTCAGCCTTGGGGACTCCTACACTCTCAGTTCCCTCCAATTCCTGCCCTCCTCCTTTTCCCCTCCCCCATCTCAGCTATACTTGCTTTCTGCCCTACCTCAGTCCCGTTTTCATTATTTTTCTCGAAGCGGTATTTGCTGAAGACCTTCTCGTTTCTACATAGTACTTTTTCCTCTCCCTTATCTTCATCTGTTGGGTCACTGAGGTTTAGAGGTGTGAAGGGAAGAGGACCCTAATATAACTTTCAGCTTGAGTTTTCTCCCTGATGGAGCCACCCTTCGCTATCTTCTCCTGTGATGGTGATAGAAATTGAGGGGTCTAAGGTGGGAAAAGGCAAACAGGAAAGTGTCTAGTGGCTTTTCTCCGAAGCCCTTTGACAAGTGAATAAAACCCACTATTCCTTCTGGCTAGAGAAGAATTTCCAGCCTGGCTAGTCGAGATGTTGAAGTGTCTGCTGTGTATGTGAGGTGTATGTGTTGGAAACGGAGAATCACAGCTTTTATCTTGGTTTTGTCCCTTCCTAATGGCTTCATCTTTAGAAAAATATGCGTAGTAGTAATAGCTACTCAATGATGATCAAATAATATATGTGAAAGCAATTTACAAAATGCTGTGCAAGTGCAAAGTGTTTCTGTTTTTGTAGCCCTCATATGTGTAGTCTGTAGAAGCAACACTGTGCCCGTGCCTTGGTACACACGGTCTGTTTTAAAATGTGCCATTTTGCTTCTTGCTCTGCTGCTTTCCATGTTCCTTACACCTCTTCCACCTGTCTTATGGTACCTGATGACAACCCAGGTTGCTGCTACTCCTCCCCAACCTCACAATTTAAAAGTGGTACTACCTCTTTCCTTCTGTTCTCTACCCAGTAGCTCCTCCATGAATTACCAATTTTTAATGTGTGCTTTGAAAATACTACTTATCTAGTATATTTCTCTTTACTCTTAATCATTTTCTTTACCCTGACTCCGTGAAAATCCAGGTATCACTTCTCACCCTACCTTGCCACTAAAAGCTGTTTCCTGTTTTTAGTGACTATGTGGAAGAGAAGAAGGAATAAACTGCTTTTTTGTTTTCCTTTACTATGTCCAGATCATTGATCTACCACTGTCACTCTAATCCTCATGGAAGGTATTGCCATGCAATTATAGCAGTTTCTGTAAAACTTTAGTGTCATCATTTACTGCCCACAAGGACCCAGACCTATTGCATCATATTTTTTTCTCTCCTCTTTTTCTTGCTGTCATTTTCAGTGTCTCCAGCACCATTGGAATACTCTGATCTCATAGTTCCTCAGCATGAGACGGTCGACTTTGCTTTGTATTTTCAAACCAGTTGCACATCAGAATCACTACAACCTGGATCTCATCTAGGACACCGCTTTTTCTTCAGGTGCTCCCCCTCACTTTAGCCTCCTTATCAGTCACTTATTTCAGTATCTTAAACCCTCAGGATCAGCTTTGTGTCCTCAGGTTCTCTGGTTCTTGACCTTTCCATTTCATTGAATCTGTCAGTACCTTATGGCCTTTGGTGCTGCCCAGCTAGACCTCTGTGACCAGCCCCTTTGATAATATCCTCTTGCTTTCTTTATTCATTTTGATTTTCTATACTAAGCAGGCACTTCTGTTATCTCTAATGATGGCTATGATTAGAGATGTTTTCTTGGCTTCTGCTTCTAGGCCACAGCATGTTGCTAGAGAAAAAGTACAGAAGCTATCAGATTCAATATAACTTAATATAACTTCTGCCAAGATCATGGCTTCTAATCATTCTTTTCTTTTTAAAACAATTTTTTGCTAGGCGCGGTGGCTCACGCCTATAATCCCAGCACTTTGGGAGGCTGAGGTGGGTGGATCAACTGAGGTCAGGAGTTCAAAACCGGCCTGACCAGTATGGTGAAACCCCATCTCTACTATAACTACTAAAATTAGCTGGGTGTGGTGGCGTGGTGGTGTGGGCCTGTCATCTTAGCTACTCGGGAGGTTGAGACAGGAGAATCGCTTGAACCCAGGAGGCAGAGATTGCAGTGAGCTGAGATCGCGCCACTGCACTCCACTCTGGGCGATAGAGCGAGACTCTGTCTCAAAAATAAATAAATAAATAAAAATTTAAATTTATTTTTTATGTTCTTCCATAGCTGTTTTCCCCAAACTTTTCCAGCTCTGTGTGACCATCCCTTTTAATTCTCCTTCTTTTGGCAGATGACTTCATTTTATTTTACTGAAAAATCAAGGCCTATCATTTTTGTTTCCTTTTTCTTCATAGCAAGATTTTGTTTGTTTCTTTCTTTTTTTAAAATGTAGGGATGCAGACTTGCTATGTTGCCCAGGCTGGTTTTGAACTCCTGGCCTCAAGTGATCTTCCCACCTCAGTCTGCCAAAATGTGGGGATTACAGGTGTGAGCCTGCATCTCTCCACAGATTTCTTGCATGTGAAGAAATTTACTCCTGATACTTCTGTTTCCTTGTTGCCTATTTGTTTCTTAACTCTTTGCAGCCATTATTTCTAGCACTACCCTCTCTAGAGTTGCCTATCCCTTTTTCTAATTGTTTGGTGAATATCTTCACTCTTGGATGTACTGTCATACCTCAAATCTAACCTGACCAAAACCAGTATCACAGTATCAGTTTTTTCATCCCTTTCTGTTAAAGGCACCATTGTTCTAGCCAACCCAAGATAAACTTTTGTGTTGTTTCTTTTTTTTTTTTTGAGACGGAGTCTCACTCTGTCTCCCAGTAGCATGATCTCGGCTCACTGCAACCTCTGCCTCCCTGGTTCAAGCGATTCTTCTGCCTCAGCCTCCTGAGTAGCTGGGATTACAGGCGTGCATCACCACGCCTGACTAATTTTTGTATTTTTAGGAGAGATGGAGTTTCATCATGTTGGTCAGGCTGGTCTCGAACTCCTGACCTCGTGATCCACCCGCCTCGGCCTCCCAAAGTGCTGGGATTACAGGTTTGAGCCATTGCGCCCGACTGTTTCTTTTTTTAATATTCTAACTATACTTGATTTTTTAGAACACTTTTAGATTTATAGAAAAATTGAGTAGATGCTACAGAGATTTCCCATATACCCTATACTCGGTTTCCCCATTACTGTCATCTTATATTAATATGGTACTTTGCTTTTAATTAATGAAGCAATATTGATATTATTAACTAGAATCCATACATCATTTCATTAGTTTTTTTTGAGACAGAGTCTGCTCTGTCACCCAGGCTGGGGTGCACTGGTGCAGTCACCATTTACTGTAGTCTTAACTTCTGGACTCAAGTGATCCTCCCACCTCAAACTTCTGAGTAGCTGGGACTACAGGTACACACCACCACTCCTGACTCATTTTTGTATTTTTTGTAGAGGTACAGTCTTGCTCTGTTGCCCAGTCTGATCTCAAATTCCTGGGCTCAAGTGATCCTCACGCCCTGGCCTCCCAAAGTGCTGGGATTACAGGTGTGAACCACCACACCTGGCTGATTTCCTTAGTTTTTACTTAATTTATTATTTATTTATTTATTTATTTATTTATTTATTTATTATTTTTTTGAGACAGAGCTTTGCTCTTGTCGCCCAGGCTGGAGTAAAATGGGGAGATCTCGGCTCACCATAACCTCTACCTCCCGGGTTCAAGTGATTCTCTTGCCTTAGCCTCCCAGGTAGCTGGGATTACAGGCATGCGCCGCCCTGCCCAGCTAATTTTGTATTTTTAGTAGAGACGGGGTTTCTCCATGTTGGTCAGGCTGGTCTCGAACTCCAGACCTCAGGTAATCTGCCCACCTCAGCCTCCCAAAGTGCTGGGATTACAGGTGTGAGCCACCGTGCCTGGTCTTTTTACCTAATTTTTTTGTTGTTGTTCCAGGATCTTATCCAGGGTACTACATAATATTTAGTTCTCATGTCTCTCTAAGCTCCTCTTGGCTGTGACATTTTCTCAGGCTTTCCTTGTTTTCGATGACCTTGAGTTTTGAGGAGTACTGGTCAGGTATTTTGTAGGATGTCCTTCTATTGGAATTTGTCTGATGTATTTCTCATGATTAGATGTGGGGTATATGTTTTGGGGAGGAAGACCACAGAGGTAAAGTGACATTTTCATCACATCATATCAGGGTACATAGAATCACAGTGATTTTTTACTGTTAATTTTTTTGTTTTTTTTGAGACAGAGTCTTCCCTCTGTTGCCCAGACTGGAATGCGGTGACACTGTCATGGCTCATTGAAGCCTTGACCTCCCAGGCTCAATCGATTCTCCCACCTCAGCCTCCTGAGTATCTAGGATCACAGGCGTGTGCCATCATGCCTGGCTAATTTTTTTTTTTTTTTTTTTGGTAAAGATGGGGTCTCACTATGTTGCCCAGGCTGGTCTTGAACTCATGAGCTCAAGGTATTGTCCCCCTTAGGCCTACCAAAATTCTGGGATAACTAGGCATGAGCCACTATGCCCAGCCTGTTAGTATTGACCATGATTATCTGGCAGAGATATTGTTTGTAAGGCTTCACTGTAAAGTTACGCTTTACCCCCTTCCTTTCCATACTGTAGGGAAGTCACTATTCCTAGCCCATGCATGAGGAATAGAGAGTTGTGCCTCCTTAAAAAAAGAGATTAAGGGCTGGGCATGGTGGTATATGCCTGTAATCCCAGCACTTTGGGAGGCTGAGGCTGGAGGATCGCTTGAGGTCATCCTAGGCAACATAGCAAAGACCTCGTATCTACAAAAAGATTAAAAAAAAAAAAAATTGAGCTGAGTAAGATGGCACACACCTGTGGTCCCAGCTGCTCAGGGTGCCTGAGGGGGGAAGATTGTTTGAGCCAGGGAGGTTGAGGCTGCATTGAGCCGTGCTTGTGCCACTGTACTCCAGCCTTGGTGGGAGTGAGACCCTATCTCAAAAAACAATAAAAAAAAACCCCACATTATTTGGCATTCTTCTGCCCAGATTTTTTTCTTTCCCCTTGTTTGTTTATTAATTTATGTATATCAATATGGACTTATAGATGTTTATTTTATATGGTAGGTTATAATCCAATACTATTTTATTTGCTTTATTGCTCAAATGTTCCAGTTTTGAACATTGGGAACCCTTTCTATTTTTTTACTTGGCCCATCTCCCTTTGATATTCGCCATCATTGCAGGTTATGATTTTGTTCTCTGCTCCAGTCCTATGGTCTGCCATTTCTCTAAGAAGCCCTTGTTCTTTTTACTGAAGAATAATGTTAGAAACTAAGATCTGATCACTAGGTGTTTTTATTTGTATGGGAGTATTTTTTTTTTTTAATTTATGGGAGTTTTATTTTTTTATGATTATTTTTATCATCTTTTACTTCTCTCTTGCCCTCCTCACGTATATCATTTATCAAAATATCATTATTTTATTCCTACTGCTGTTACCTTTATCCCATCTTTAGTACTTGTTAGCTATATAACCTTGGGAATCTAAGTCTTAGTTTTCTCATCATTGAAATTGGAATAACTCCTGCAACACAGGATTATTATAAGTATTAAAATTTAAATAAAATAATTTGCATGTTTGGCACATAAAAAGTGTCCAACACATTGTTCTGTAGTTATTACTATTATGTAAGGGTTATTGTATGGGTTAGAAGAAATTACTATATACGGCCAAGTACCAGGCATAGTGTACTTGGGCCATTCTAAGTGCCTGCTAAAATTCTAGTTTCTGTTGTCCTGCAAATATTACTGTGACCTCCTAAACTGGTCATCCTATTTTCAGTCTCTCTCTTGTTTCATTTCTTCTGATACACTGCTACCAGATGACTGCTCCTTAAGTACAAATTTAGTTGCGTAATTTTTGTTCAATATTAATTCATCAACCCAGAGTCTGCTGTTATATTTGGCATATATCTTTCTAAACTGTTTTAAACATAGCAGAATCAGATGGTATATACATTTTTATATCTTGCCTTTTCATTTAGCCTTATGAGGTAAATGTTTTTCCTTGCTATTAAAAACTCTGTAAACATCTTTTAAAATACTGGCAGAGTGTTTTATAGTTTGGGCATGCACCTTATCTTACCTTTCTTCTGTTATTGGACCTGTAGATTGTTTTCAGAATTTTTTTTTTTTTTTTTTTTTGAGACGGAGTCTCGCTCTGTCACCCAGGCTGGAGTGCGGTGGTGCAATCTCAGCTCACTACAAGCTCCACCTCCTGGGTTCACACCATTCTCCTGCCTCAGCCTCCCCGAGTAACTGGTACTACAGGCGCGCGCAACCGCACCCAGCTAATTTTTTGTATTTTTAGTAGAGATAGGGTTTCACCGTGTTAGCCAGGATGGTCTCGACCTCCTGACCTCGTGATCCGGCCACCTTGGCCTCCCAAAGTGCTGGGATTACAGGCGTAAGCCACCGTGCCTGGCCCATAGTGTTCTTATAATAAAAA